AACCAAGAGTTGGACGCTCAACCGACTGCGCCACCCAGGTGCCCCATGTGTCCTCTCTTCTTGCTTGTTTCTCTGTCTTTGTGTCTGCCTTCCTTCCTTCTCTTAAAGATAAGAGATGTTTAAATGTATTTATTAGCTTAAGGAGAGAGGCCAGTATACAGGAAAAGACTTAGATAAAACAAAACAAAACAAAAAAATGTGTGTCCTTCTGAACAAAGGGCAGACAAAGGCATTAAAGCCTCCTTGTCTTCAAGAAGGGACCATTGAGTAATGACTGTCTACTGGAGTCCCTCCCCCTTCCTGTGCAAGAGCCTGGGTGTGCAGAAGTGAATACACACAGCATCTCAGCCCTAGTCTTGGGTCTAGCAGGACAATGGCCAAAGGTCTATACAAACACGTCTTTACAATCTGTGAGGAGAACCACAGAGATGAGCTGGGTGCAGAGCCAGGATCGGCACAGGAGCCCTGGCCAGGATGGAGCTGTGGGGTAGGCTCAGGGCAGGCCCCCTGAGGCAACCCCTCCCCACCCCCCCCACCCCCCACCCCCGCCCAGGACTCAGATTTTCACTGTCAATAACCACAGGTTCCAGCTACCTCCTGCATGTGATAAAAAGAGACTTGTGTCTCTCCATTTTCTCCTCCCAGGGTGTACAGAAAATACCTTTTATTAAACTTCCGTAGAACAAAAGCATCAAGCACAATCCGTGTGTGCCATGAGCATTCGTGGGCTTCTTTCAAATGCTGGCCAGTTCTTGGCTTTGTCACAAGGGGTCTGTATCCACCTGGTTTCTTAGAACAAAATCCTCCTCTCCCTGCAGAAGGCCCCTTCTCACCAAACACTCCCTTCCAGTGGAATTTGCCCCCAGCCAACAACAGATCAGGTTGGCAAGGAACTCCTTCCGTCAGCTCTGCAAACAAAGACTCTCCTGATTTAAAAGGAAGAGAAGCACCTTATTAAAGGTGAGACCCTGTTACTAAAAGTCTGTAAATGAGATCGAGTTCAGGCCTGTGATCTTTCAAATCAGGGCTCCAGGAAATGCAGATCCTGCGGGGATCCCACTGCTTGCCTGGGAGAGCAAAAGAAGGCCTCAGAAAATCCTGGGGGATGTTGTGTGCACCTCAGGGGTTCAGCGCGGGCGTGCTGAGTATGGTCTTGAGTTTCACGATTGGTGGACGTTAACGGTATCATTTTGAATCCAGGATTTGTCACTGAGAAAAACCGCTTCTGCTCTATTTTGATGGGAGGCAGCTGAGCATGTCTACTCTGGGGAGGAACACTGCCTCCCCAGCCTCCTGTGCGCATCTTAGCCAGGATGACTCAAGACAAAAGCCAGGTTGTAATTATTAAAAGGATATATACTTTTTCATCTCTTTGTGTAAGCATCTCATTTCTTTCTTGAATATCACCCTCTCACGGGCTCTGTAAATTGGGCGCTCTGTTCTGGTTGCTGGAGACTTAGACGTGTTTGTTTCCTGTGAAAGTCGATGAAGAGGAAACGTACCAGTTTGCATGTAATGATAAATCTAACCATTTCTTTGAAATACCATCCTGGGAGGGTGACAGGGAGCTTCGTGTGAATATGCTGCCTCGGCTGGTATTATTCCTAAGTTTTCTTTCTTTTTTTCCTTCCCCTGATGGGAGGGATCTGTTTTTGAAGATCTCCTTCCTCTCCTGGTTACAATATACAAAAGAACTGCTCTTTAAATGTGCTTGGTGAAAGAGAAAATAATTAGAAAACCAACTCTGCCTATAAGCACTTAGAAATATCTGGGCTCATTTTCCCCAAGGTGGAGGTAGCGATTCTCCCCAACAAAGTCAATACCCTGGATCGGGTGTTTGGATTAGACCCACTTGCCTGCAGAGAGGCTATCATTTGCTAGAGTAATTAAGGGTGTTTTCAAAGAGTCTGCAAATGTCAATGTTGACAGTCATAAGGAAATGAAGTTAGGCAGGTGGTGTCACTTGCCAGGTGGCCTTTGTTTATGCAGGACTTTTGTAACCTGATAACTAAGCCAGGCCACCCCAAGGCTTGGCTGTCCCCTGGCCCAGCCCCATGCCGTCCTGGCCACCTGGACCTTCCTCCCCAAACCGCACCTGTCTAAATCTCGAGCGTTCTTCAAGACCCAGTTCCGATTTTACCCTCAACAATCAGATGTGGTTTACGCAGTGGCTGACACGATGGGTTACCCCTTTCTGAAACGCCCCCTTTAATTCTCGGCAGTGCATTCTTTGCTTTTGTTCCTACCTTCCTTGACCTTTGAAATGCTTTATATAAGTGACTTGTTTGTTTGGAGGCCCTTCTTTAGGCACAATGTATCGATATTCATACATTTTGTTTTGTTTATTTCCTCCTGGATGGGCTTAACATTTATTTGGGTAGAGTTTAAGGTGGAGTCAACAATATATATCAGAGCCAGCTTTCCCGGTGCTTTTTGGTAAACGATCCATTTTGAATCTCTTCTGCGCCACCATCAGCTCTGTCTACTCGAATCAGATCTATAGATTTATAGGATTTTAATCACTTTGGCTCCAGTGGGCTCGATCCAGGTAGCCTTTGGTGCTACGTCTTTCCAGAGTCTGGAAAACTCCTAAATTCCAGTTCCCGAGCTTAGTTAATTTTGCAGCTTTGTGAGTGAGATTCTGGGTGCATTCCAAGGGGCTCTGCGGGGAGAGCAGGCGGGGCACTCTTGTTTTCCACCTGGACACCTCCCTTCTGCGTCCTCCGGCTGGCTTTTCTCTCCTGCCCCCCTGTGGCATCCTCCCCTTCCTTGAAGCCCTGGTGGGCTGTGGTGCTCTGGGCTCCCATTCTTCATTGTATTTGGCGCTCCTGGCTTGGCTTCGCCCTGTCCCACATCTCTGGCAGGCACACCTCTACCTCCCTACACTTTATATCATGTCCTGTGGGCCCCTGAAGTCACTGTGTCACTCAGGAGGCCCCCCCACCCCATTATTTCTTCTATGGATTTTAGGCTCATATCCAGCCTTGTATTCAGGCAGGCACCTAAATCTGCCAATATAATTCCCAGATACAGCTCCATTCTAGCTTTTTCTTTGCAGTCCCCTGCTGTGCCCTAGCTGGCCATCGGTTACTGTGGCTGGTTCCTGATGGGTCACCTCCCCTCGTTTCTCACCTTACAGTCCCCCTTATACCTGTTGACAGTCACCTGACACGGCTAACAGCTTCAGCAGTGGGCATTTGTGACTTTCGACCCACTATTTGTGGGGCCCAGGTGTTGTTCAAATGCCCACACAAATATACCCCATAAACCTACATATAAAACCAAAATGAGCTTCACCAAACAATTCCCCTTAGTGCATGTCATGTCCCCTGATATTTCTAGTTTATGAACCAGCCCTACCTGCTACAGTTTGTAAAACACTTACCTAAAATTAGACGCCCTGGTATGGCAAATGGGGATTAGCCTAACCTGGTGCCAAGTGACCTGTCCTTGAGAACAGTCTCTTCCACACATAGACTTACACTCCGGCTACCGTGGAACACACCGCTTCTTCCAGAGACGCAATATACTTTCCAAAGTCTGTCTTCACCATATGCTGTATCTCCCATCCACCCTCCCCCATCAAATGTTCCTTCTGGAAACCCCTATTACCATCCCAGACCCAGCTCGAAGATCTCCATGCAGACTCTTCCCTACTTCCTTATCCTCTAGTGACCCCAAATACTTTCCCTATTAATCACTTCTAAAAATTAAAATAATTCATATTCTAATATTTTTCAAGGCATGACTCTTGGACATGGGCTGTTGTGGTATAATAAAGAATACATCTGGTCTTTGTCCCCATCCCTGGCACAGAGCTCCAAAGTCCCTGGAATTTCATAATAGAAGTGTCTGTTTAAGAACAAGCTTTGACCACACCCAAATTTATATTAATGAGGTGGAACCTTAGGTAGTGGGGCCCCAGGGGGGAGTTGGCCACGCTGGAAAGAACAAGTATGGAATTGAGAGTTGGAACTTTTGAGCCCCATACCCAGACCTCGGGGGAGGTAGTGCGGGGAGGGGGCTGGAGATTGAGTTCAGTCATATGGCCAATGGTTTAATCAATGGTGCCTAGGTAATAAAACACTGGATAAAAATTCTGAATACTGAGGTGTGAGGGAACTTCCTGGTTGGTTCTGGGAAGGTGGTGTGCTTGGATTCCAGGAAAGGACACGGCAGCTCCGTGCTATCCTCCCCAAGACTTTGCCCTGGCCATCTCTTCATCTGGTGTTAGTCTGTATCCTTTAAAATGAAACTGTCATTGTAGGTTTAGCACTTTCATGAGTTTTGTATGTCCTTCTAGTAAATCAACAATTGTGAAGTGGGAGGTGATGGGAACCCCAAATTTGTAGCCAAGTTGGATAGAAGTCCGGGGAGCTTTGGGATCCCATCCGCAGCTAGCATCCGAAGAAGGGCAATCTTGTGGGGAGCTTGCCCTTGACTTGTGAAGTCTGATGCTAACTCTGGGTAGTGAGTGTCAGAATTGAATGGAATTGTAGGACACCCAGCTGGTGTCAGAGAACGGATTTCAGAACTGCAGACCTATAGATTCCAGATCCTATAGACCAGGTCATCTGGGCCAGGGAGTCCCCACTTTTAAGGAGTACCTTAGTGATATGTGTGTTAAAATCTGAGAGCCACTGACGCATGCATTAAAGCACATTTGGAAAATGTAAACGAGCAGAATGAGATGAAACACAAACCATGTCTAATCCCAGCATGAAAACATTGTGGCATATCTCTTTTGACTTCCCATGTAAATCCTTTTTATTATGGTTTGATCAGGCTGTAGATTCCGGTTTATGTTCTGCTTTTTCCATTTAACATTCAATCAGACGTATTTTTCTTGCTATGACATACTTTTTTAAAATAGAAGTGCAGTGAGTGCTTTTGCAAAAGAGTGTTTCCTTAACCAATGTGTCTCTTTGGGGGACATTTATGATATTATCAGTTTGTCATTATTATGAATTATGTTGTGATGAAATTTTTTCTCTCTGAAGCTTTTACAGGACTTGTTTTCAATACCTCAGGATTCCCAGAAGTTAGATTACTTGGGCCGTCTCCACAGATGGCTTTGGAGCTCTGGATCAATATTGTCCACTGGCCACCGAAGGGACTATGTCTCCATACGTTCTCGGGCAGTGATGTTTATTTGTACAAGCTTTGTGAACCTGATAGGTCAAATGGTATGTAATTATTTTAATTATATTTATTCCATCCTTAAGACTGCAGGAAATTTTCCCAAGTGTTTGTTTACTAATTGTATTTCCTTTGGTGAATCCTGGTTCATGACCCCAACCTTATTCTTCCACTGGTGTTTTGTTGTGGAATTAACCCTGTGTCTTCATATTTGCTACAATTATGTGTTCTTTATCCCTTCACTCTGAAATCTTGGTGATATCTTTAATATATCGGCATTTAAAATTTTTCTCTAGTCATAATGCAACGTGTCTTTCCTTGGTAATTTCTTCTGTTGCTTTAAAAAGCTCATCCTTCTCCCAAGATTTGATGACTGATGGTTGTTGTCTTGTAGTTTTGTTACTTTGAACAAAATAAGTGACTAAATATGTCCTTCTAGAATCTCTCAAGGATGTATTTTGGTGTATGCTATGAAATAATCTCAATAAATTATTTTTCTTTTTTTTTTAAAGATTTATTTGAGAGAGAGTGAGAGCGAGAGAGAGCGAGCAGGTGTGGGGGAGGGGAAGAGGGAGAGGGAAAGAGAGAATCTCCAGCAGACTCCCTGCTGAGCACAGAGCCCGACGGGGGGCTCCATCCCAGGACCCCAAGATCATGACCTGAGCCAAAACCAAGAGTTGGACGCTTAACCAACTGAGCCACCCAGGTGCCCCTAAATAAATTATTTGTCTAAATGTTATTGTTCTAAAATCACATAATAAAGGATCTTTCCCTTCTTCTCTGATGTTCTGGGACAGTTGCTTTTATAGTCCTGGTCGTTTTGAGGGACAACTGTTTGTTTACATCATGACCCAAGGGTAGGACTTGGTCATGTTCAGCTCTGCAACCCCAGAACTAAGCATAGTACACAGGCTCCCCAGGAAAGTTTTTGAGTGAACACTAAAAAGTACATAAATCTAGAAGGGAGGCAGGGCTGTGCGGAACTGTCCCAAAGTGCAGAGCTTCCTAGGTCTTAAAGAGCCATCCTGATCTTAGGACTTCATGCCTTCATATAATTAATCATATTTATTCATTTATTTATATTTTGGCACAGGAGACTTTTTTCCCAGGAACATCTCAGTGCATTGGCATGACTTGTTTTTAAGCCGTTATTTTTATATTGCTTATGTGAAAGGGATAAATATTTTTAGAAGGTCTCTTTTGCCACAAATGGAAGAAAATGGTGAGGTCCTGGAGAATTCTTATGATTTCATTGCACTCATAGTATGTTGGTGAGAAAAACACACTTGCAAATGTACCAGGGCCCCACACTGGATTACGGAGGAGCCTCTGGAGCTCAGGGAGCACAGCACTTCTTTTTCAATGTTTCACACCCTTTCTACCCTGCCCCCCAGCCCTGTCCCAGTCTCTTGCACCAACTCCCACTCTCCCTTTGACTCTGAGATTCCCAAGGCTTCCTAGAGAGGTGACGGGTGCAGGTTTCCCATTCCATCTCCTCTAAGACTAGAACTACCATGAGATCCCCATATCTGTCCCAAAGCTTGGCTAGCTGTTTCACGGGCAACCGCTCAAAGGTTGGCGTCCCCAGTGGACTGCAGGATTCGGGCCCTTTCTTCACCCTCTCCAGGAGCTGCTGCCCCCAGCGGTCTCCCCCTGCTCTGCCCCGCCGTCACTGGCGGCTGACAATCCCCCACCCACCAGGGCAGAGCCTCTGCCCTCACTCTCAGGGTCTTCCAGAAGTGAGTCTCCATTAAACATGCCGAGCTGTACTTGTTCTTCCTCTGATGCATTCTTCCTCACCTCCAGTTACACCTCCCGTGACTTTAGTCAAATCATAGCTTCCTGTCGGCTTACCTTGACTCCATCACCCCGTGAATTTTCAAAGGTGGGTATTAAGGAGTCCTCCCCACCTTCTCACCCCAGGAACCAAATCAGACTTCAGAAGGTGTGAAGCAAGTGTTAATGTTGAAAAAACGTGTTCTGTGCCAAATGTTTGGATAATGAAATAAATTGCAAATGGTTTGGGTAACACAGATTATAGGAACCAAGCCAGAGACCGCTCCCTGGTGGATGGAGAGCCACGGTGACTTGAACAGCCATGGGTAGGAGAGCTGATGCATGTCCCGGGGGTTTTGAGCCCTCCTGGGGAGGTGACACACGATGTTTATGCTTATTGGAAGAACACAGGTTATAAAAGGCTGAGAAGCATTCACCCAAGCCAGTCTCCTGTCTTCATGCATCTGTTGGTTCCTGTATTCATTAGCGCCTCTGTTACTCCAGACACTGCTAGGGCTGGGGACACAGAGGTAAGTCGTGGAGGCACCATCGGGCCGGGATAAGCTGTGATCAGCTGCAGATCACATGCATGCTGGGTCTAGAGATGCTGGTTGGGTGGCTAGCCCAGGCAGGCAGGTCCAGAAGCTTCCTGGTGAAGGGCCACGCAAGCCAGCCCTGCCTTCAGGGGTGTCAGCAGGTGGAAGGGCAAGGGTAACGTATCTCGGGGAGTTCTGGAGAGCCTTCGGTGAGGGAGAGGAAGGGCACCAGTGGGAAAGAAAGGGCACACATTCAGGGAGGAGATAGCTGTGGGGAAACCACCTCTTACCAGCTCTGCCAAGGGGTCTTGAGTCCTGAAACCTCTAGTTGTGCTCTGGCCTGATGCGCCATGTCAAAGCACTTAAGAGAATGGCCTTCCCCTTCAGTCCCACCTGACCTGGAATCTTCTCAGTCATAGCAGCATGACTTGGGGCTGCTTACCCATCACTCTGAGCATCATTGTCTGCATTTGTGAAAATAGGGAAGAAAATTGCCGGTCTCGGAATGGGTCCCTGGCCCAGCATGTACTAGGCACTGAGGAGGTGACGATTACTACTGCCATTATTGTTATGAACTACTTTTTTTATTGTTTTATTGTCATTATTATTAGTGACTGTGGCTGTTACTGGTATTATTTCTACTTCTGTTTTTGGCATGTCTGCCAATAAATAGGCTCCAGAGATACGGAGGAGGGCTGGGCCCTGGGGCAGAAGCCTCAGAAAGGAACTTATAGTCTTCTGATTGTAGACTTGAATTTCATCTCTTCTGTTGGGAACTTGAGATGAAGTCAGAAGAGCAGGGAGCTATATTCTGTGCAAAAGGTCCTGGAATTTCAGACCTGAAGGTAGCCAGCCAAGCATACACAGGGGACAGAGGCTATTGGAGAAGGTACGCCAAGTCTCCTTATCCATGCGCGTGTGGCCTATAATTGCGTTTAGACTTTCATTCGTAATTTTATTGCCATGAATGGGCTGTGCATCAGCGGGCAGTATGATCCCGACTCTGGGCCACATGATCTCCATGAACCCTGCCAATCCCCAGCTATTGCCATATATACTGCAGGAATCTCTGGGAGGAAAATGCCTTCCCATTACTTCTCTCCCCATTGGCCAGCATGGTGGGTCCATGATCCAGGGGCTTGACACATGCTCCCTCCTGCCCAGCACTTTCTGGGCATCCCTCCAGACACAGAGCCCCACACCCAGGGGCCCTGTGCTTCTAGAGTGAGGCCCTGCAGCTTCTCCAGGGCCAGCACCCCAAAAAGCACAGGCATTTCCCCACCGACGTCAAACTCATGGTCAGAACCAATCTTGCTGCCCCATTCTCATCTAAAAGGAATTTGGCCAAGGACAGTGTAGTGTGAATTAAGCTTCCCATAGCGGTCCACGAGGTAAAAAGTTCATAAACTCAGCTGCAACGTACATCCTGTTCAGCACTGTGGGAAATCGCTGGACTTAGGAGCAAGTTTCTAGCCCGGAATCTCTTTCAGGAAATTATGTCGCCCTTTCTGATCCTCTGGCTGTGAGGTGCTATGGGGATCCCACTGCACAGAAATCCTGTTGCCTTCTCGGAGCTGTACCTGAAGGGAAGAACACCAGCCCCGTCTAACTCGAAAAAACACATCACTCCATAGAAAGGCCCTGGAAACAATTAAGAGATTTCAGAACTCAGTGGAATTCAAACATTAGGAGATGCCAGTATCCGGAGATTACTCTATGCCACCAGATTTCCTTTGGGGAGGAAGAAAGCTTGGCGCGGGGCAGGCGCTCCAATGTTCCATGATGATCATTTTATTTTATTTTTTTAAAAGATTTTATTTATTTATTTGACAAATAGAGACACAGCGAGATAGGGAACATAAGCAGGGGGAGTGGGAGAGGGAGAAGCAGGCTCCCCGCCGAGCAGGGAGCCCGATGTGGGGCTCGATCCCAGGACCCTGAGATCATGACCGGAGCCGAAGGCAGACGCTTAACGACTGAGCCACCCAGGCGCCCCCCATGATGATCATTTTAAAAGTTAAGACAGGCCAGATGCTCCTCTCTCTCTCTCTCTTTTTTCTTTGTAGGTCACCCAGTTGTGTTTTTTTTGCGGGTATTTTTGTTTAAATCAGCAATTTTTCCTCTTGGGGTCAGCAGACCAACATTTCTGGCCAAGCATGAAACCTCTGACTTTGGCTGTGTATATAGGTCAACTACACAACTGGTTTGAGTGTTGTACACATTTTTATTTTAACAAAAAGATTATTGAGCATTTTTGAGAACCTTTCCTCCTTCCCTTTGAATCAAAGAGGGTAAGAGGGATGGGAGCAGCCTACCCCTCGTCTGGCTGGTGATAGGGCTTGGGCAGTCTGAGAAAGGAGGACACTGGTTCCTTCCTTTCTTCTTTCCTTCTTTCCTCTCTTCCTCCCTTCCTCCCTTCCTCCCTTCCTTCCTTCCTTCCAGCGGCATGCATTAATAGGGTAGCTGCTGTGTGCCAGACACTGTATTTGCCATGTTTGTCCCCTCCCCTCATTGTCTCTAGGAGCCACACTCATCTGCATTCGCTAGCCCTGAGCACCACACCACAGCACAAGGATGAGCAATGCTTGTTGAATGAACGCACTGTCCTCATGACACCCACCTGGGGTCCTGCCCCAGCTTCTTCACATGTCCCGCCCTGGGGCAGGACGACTGACCTGGATACCTTCTGAAAGCTTGGATTCTGAAGCAGGCCCTCTTGCAGTGTGTCCCAGGGAGGACGGGGAGGGTACCTTTGGGTTGGTAGCACCCTCTGAACACCCCATCTACAGACCTCTCCAAAGCGCTCGCCAATAGGCTCAGTCTCAGACTTCAAGCTCTGCCCTAAGCAGCCCACAGTCCTGGGAGACTGAGCCCCACTCTTGTTCTGGTCCCCTTGGGCAGAATTCCCATAAAGATCCCATTTTATAATCCATTCCTCCCCTGCTTGCTGTCTGATCTGACCCCTCTGAGCACCAGGCCCTTGTCTCCCCCAGATGCTGAAGGTCCCCGCTGTGCTTGAGCACCTGGATCATTTCCCTGAGGCTCTAGGGTTTTTCTGTCTCAGCTGGCTCCCTCCCTTCCCAGGCTCGGGTCTCTGCCTCCAGGCCCTCCCAAAGGCTCGACTCACATTCTCTCTGGTGAGGAGCATAGCTTCACTTTTCCCCGCTGTGCATGTATCTTGATGACTGAGGATGGCCAAGGGCCTTTTCCTGTCCCCTCCTGCATCAGTAAGTATCCTGCACATGGGAAGACACAGGACAAGTTTGCTGCCTTGAATTCTCCATGTGAACTAGCTTTCAATGAATTTATTACAAGCTAAAGAGAGGACGTTAGACAATAAGGATCCTTTTTCGTATACTTTTAGTTAATTTGGAGATTTTAAGTGGCTTTATTGAGGTACAATTGCCACGCAGCAACTGCACAAGTTGGAAGTGTACAATTCGATCAATGCTGACATTTTTACGATGCAACCATCACCACAAAGCACGTGGTGATGCCCATCACCACCAAGGCTTCTTCCCAGTCCCTAGTCATCCCCTCTTGCGCCTGTGCCTGCCCCTCTCCCATCCCCAGGCAGCCATGAATCTTGTTTCTGTCAGTAAGAGGACTTTGCAGTTCCTAGAACTGTAGATAAATGCAATGCAGAGCATGTACTCATTTTTATCCTTCATGGTTCACTCCGCCTCGTTATTTTGGGACTCGTCTATGTTATTGTGTGTATCGACGTCTCTTTCCTCTGCGTGGCTGAGCAGCGTCCCATTGCCCAGATGCATTGCTCTCGTTTTTTATCCATTCACCTGTTGATGAACACTGGGTTGTTTCCACCTTTTGGCCACGTGAATAACCTGCTGTGGGCATTTGTGTCCACGTCTGCCATTGCATGGATATTGCTTTTTTTTCCTTCTTGGGTAAATGCCTAGGAGTGGAATGGCTGAATCCTATATTAAACGTGTGTTTAACTTTTAAAGAAACTATCAACTTCAGACAGGGACCATGGGAACAAGCCCCAAGTGGAAAGCACTGTGCGCCTGGGACACTTTCCGTTGGTTGTTATGGTTAAACCACTTCTCTTAGGGAGCAGAGCCAGGATGTGCCCAGGACAGGGCCCCCTATTCTAGCTGGATTTAAAACAGAGAGCCCTGGCCCCAAAAAGCATGGAAGAGGGGCCGGAGTTGCCTGCCAGTATCGACCAGTCAGGACAATCTGAGTCCAACCAATCAGAACAAGGTCCTTCCAACCAATCAAGACAAACATCCTCCCCGCCGCCCTTGGTTAGCATATTGGACCCGAGTGGGAAGCAGAGGGAGCTTTCTGTGCTTATGGAGGGCTTCCTCTCTGTGCTCTCCGTGGGTGTTGTGCCTCCTTCAGCTGCAGCTGGAGCCCCCGTAAGGCCTTGCCTGTGCCTTGGACTTTTGGGTCCGGCCTTGTTTCTGTGGTTGTCGGGCCCAAGAACCCGACAGGGTAACAATAGTTTTGTTTCTGTTTTTGTTTTTTAAGATTTTATTTATTTATTTGACAGAGAGAGACAGCGAGAGCAGGAACACAAGCAGGGGGAGTGGGAGAGGGAGAAGCAGGCTTCCGGCCGAGCAGGGAGGCCGATGCGGGGCTCGATCCCAGGACCCTGGGACCATGACCTGAGCCGAAGGCAGACGCTTAATGACTGAGCCACCCAGGCGCCCACGATAGTGTTTTTCCAAGGGCGTTGAGCCTTGTCTGTTCCCACCAGCACTGTAGGAAAGTTCCGGCCCCTCCAGTTTGCACATGGTTCTGGCTGCGTGCACGCTAGTGGCGTTTCAAAAAGCCGATTCTCAGGAAATTCCAAAGGGATTCAAGATTTCTCCAGGCCCCTGAAATGTCTGGGACTGAAGTATGTGCTCTGTTCCAGTTCTTACAGCCAACTTCGCAGGCCGGGCCAGGCTCTGGGCTGTTGGGGTGGGGTCCTTTCTGCAGCCCAATGCTCTCCATGGGGGCTCTCTGCCCGGCTCCGGGGCCAAATGCAGCTTGTGGAGCGGGCCAGGGGATTGGAGGGCGTGAGAGGCACTGGGGGGGAGCCGCAGTCTCTCTGAGTCAGATCGCACTGATCTCTCCTACTCGCCCAACCTGCTGTCTACAGAGCTGAGACTGGCATGTGCCAGCCCCTAATCCAAGCCTGGTGAGGGGATGGGCAGCTCAGTCTCTTGGACTAGGAAGAAGCAATGTTTGGATTTCCATTGTGTTTTTCTAACATTTAAGATGACGGTATTTTAACTTCTTAGTCTATCCTAATTTCAAAAGACCCGAGACACCTGGATCGTGAGAAAAGCTAAGCGTGTAGAGGGAGAGCATAGGGGCTTCACCCTAGGACCACTGCTGACGGATGGCATGTCGTTCCTCAGACCTTTCCTGAGAAGCCGTGTGGCGTGCAGGTGATGCACTAAATGCTCGGGAGAGCAAAGCCACACGGACCACAGATAGACAGAAAAGGCACATTTGCAGACCCTGGGCACATCCGTAAAATGGATTCGGGTGTTGAGGGTTTCAAAAGAATGAAAGGCTCGTCGGATTCCCAGATTTGGGGAGATGCTAGAGAGCTTTTTTGGGTTGTAGAATGGCCACGCTGAAGAGTTACAGGATTTGTAGGTTTTCGCAGTGGGGGGAGTAGGAACGCCTGAGTTGGGGCAGGTTGGAGGGAATTATAAGTTGAGGGAGAAGTATGAGCAATTTCCTGGTGGTAGGGATGTGAGCAGCCACCTAATTTGCTGGAAGTAAGTTCCAGAAGGGACGTAACAGACATAAGGTTTGAAGGGTATTGGGCATATTGCCGAGGTTCTGCAATACGCAGGAGAGAGATTTGTGCCTCTGAGAGCAACAAGCAGCACGAGCAATTGGCCAGGAAGGACCACTTGGCCAGGGCTGCGTGTGAAGAGCCCTGCAGGCCTGATGGGGAGGGCTGCAGTGGGGGAGGGGGGGAGGGAGGCACTTCACTCCAGGTGAAGACAGGTGGAGATGTCAAGAGTCTGCAGCAGGTGTCCCTCGTGGTGGGGATGTAAGAGGAGTGCATTGAGAGGAAACCCAGATGGGGACTGGAGGCCTTGGAAGGGGATTGCATTTAGGGACCGGGAGCGAGGAGGCTTGAGGTTGTGAGCACGGTGACCGTGGGGCCGGCGGGGGTTTACCGTAATGGGCAAATCTCACACGTGTTGACCCAGAGAATGGGAAGATGAGTAGTACCCTGTAGTTAAGTGACGAGCAGTGCTAGCTGAGGTGCACCAGCTGTGTCACGGACCTCAGACTTAACACACTGTGTGAGCCTCCCGTAAGTCGCGGTGGGTGCAGTGTTTCCGTGCAGCAGCTGACCCTGTTGATAACCTGGGCTAACCATTCAGTGACCCGGGCCAACTCCTTCTCTGCCATCTCCCACCTGTTCCCATGAAGAAGAGCAATTCCAAGAGCTTCAGTGTATCACCTCTGTTGCCCTTTCACCAAGGCCATAGGAAACTTCTTAGATGGGTACCAGACACCCGAAACCCTGGTCTACAGCTCCCCAAGTCCATCCAGTAAGATTGCTCTCATTTTTCCAAGTTTGGGGCCCCTTCTTTTCCTTTATTGCATGCATACCAGCACACTGTCCTGAGATAATGGATATTCTTGTGATTTCACAGTAATTTTTCAAAACAAATACAAAACTATGTTATTAAATTTAAAATATCAGTTATAATGTATAATGAAGGCAGGATAGTCCCCTTCGTTTTTATATCATTCACCCAGTTCCTTATTATAAGAGGACTCATTTTCCTGCATGAATGTAGTGAGTTGTACTGAATACGTACCTACAACAGTTTTGTTCTTTTTTTTTAAAGATTTTATTCATTTATTTGAGAGGGAGAGAGAGCACAAGCAGGGGGAGCGGCAGGCAGAGGCAGAGGGAGAAGCAGACTCCCCACTGAGCCGGGAGCCCAATGCGGTGCTCCATCCCAGGACCCTGAGATCGTGATCTGTGCCAAAGGCAGATGCTTAACCCACTGAGCCACCCAGGTGCCCCAGAGCAGTTTTGTTCTTTACAATTTCCTCCAGTGGGAAATCAGCCAAAAGAAATGAACCATTGTGTGGTTCTCAATCATGCCACGTTGACTTCCAAAAATATTCCCAGCACTTTTTACATTTTTACAAACAATGTAGGAGTGTGTTTTTTTCAGCCATGCCAGCCTTGCATGTGTGGATTTTCCACTATTTCACTGATAAAACGTAACCTAAGTGCTACCTCATTTTCTTTCTTTCTTTTTTTTAGAGCATAATGAACACAGCTTTATTGTGGACTAATTGTAAAATGCAGATATGCAAGGAGAACAAAATGAAAGCTACCTACAGTTTTATCTTCTAGAGATAGCCCATGATACCGTCTTTCAAGAATTATCACTACGCACATGCATGAGGCTTTAACAGATTGTACTTGTCTGAATGACTATATGAGGGTTTGCCCTGGATACCAGACATTCCCTTAATAAGTAAGCATATGTTTTTAAACCGTCAGAGAGTTTATTTCTTTTAATTTCGTATTTAAGACATTCAATTTAACAGTCTCAGCTCTTGTTTTAAAACTAATTATTCAGGTTGGTGCCTAAGGCTTTTTGCCCTCTTTGTACTTTCCTGTGCCTAAGCAGCTGTATTGAGATGCGTGGGTGAACGTACTTTGGACGCACGTGGACACGGTTCGCTCCGGAACCATCACACCACTTTCCTGGCTTCCATCACCTGGACCTGCAACAAGACAAGGCACTCCATGTGTCTTTAACCTTTTCCAATCTAATAGGTGAGACACATCAATTTTTAAGTTTGAATTTCTGTTTATTGACAAAATTAAATATTTTCAATGCTTCATTCCTGTGTTTTTCATGCAAATCTATCATTTTATGAATACATTGTGTCCTCTTTTTAAAACTGTTTTGAGAAGACTCCTGTTATATTAAGGATTCCAATTACTTGTCCTACATGCTGCAGATATTCCCAATATGTTGGTTTACTCTTAATACTTTCTGGACTCCTTTAATATATGAATACTTGTGATTTTAGGCCTGAAATAAATCAATGAACACCTTCTTTGTGTACTCTGATTTTGGAATTATGCTGAGAAAGGCCAAACCAATGCCAGGGTTTTGTTTGTTTGTTTTGCTAACATTTTCCTCTAGCTGTTGAAAATTTTTTCATTATTTTATCGTTTCGCTTCAAAAGAGGCTATCTCTAGTCCAGCTGAAATGTACTTGGCTCATCAGTTGAGATAAGGATCTAAACGGTTAACCAGTGACCTTATCACCCTGTTGGATAATCCATCCTTTCAACAATCTTTTGAAATGCCAGCCAGGTAGGAGGAGAAATTAGCACTCTTTTACGTGGGTGACCTGATAACTGTCTTCAGATATTGTGCTGTCTGTGATGCGGGGGAGGGCTCGCCATTCCGTGCGGCCGGAGAGCAGAGGTGGGAGCCGTGGGTGGAAGGAGCACACTGTTGACCTGAGTGTAGAAGAGAAAACCACTTGCTAGAATGCAGCAAGGAATTGTTTGGACTTGAAGTGGTCACTTTGGCAAGAGTCACCCCCATTCCAGAACTGACCTAGGCAGCTCCCCTGGTCACGTGGGGAGGGCGGTGGTATCACGGGGCTCCGATTCCCTTCTAGTCCTGAGAGTCCTGATTCTATGGATTGGAGGCAAACCGGGACTCAGAACATCCCTTTCTATAACCTGGCACTGGCTACAGAGAACCCCGGGGCCGACCATGGGGCTTCACTGAGTCAGAACAAACAGACCTTGATGCCAGGGCAGGGACTTTACCCTGGTTGTCTGTGTGCATCCGGTTCACCGTGGATGCAGCCGACCCAACGTGGCCCAGTGTGAGAACGTGGCACAGACCAGTGACAGGCATGCACTCTCCATCGGGGTAAGGGACTGCAGTATCTGGGAAACTATTTGCTCTGTTTATTTTGGGCTAGAAACATTGCATCTTATTTGTGTGTAGTTGTTTAGGGACAGAGAAAGATTGGAAAGTCTAAATTTAACAAATGCTAAATATATCATCGTTCCAATGAAAACTATGACAGTTATTTTCCCACCTGGTGGAGAGTGTAGGAAGTCGTGCCCCCAGGATCCCACGGGCAAGAGAATGGCACAGCATTTCCTCTTTGGGATTATTTCTGGGACGGACCCCGGAATTTGCTACATTCATCCAATATGGTCAAATTATCCCATCTATTTCAAGGGCATGACACTTGATCCCAAAAGTTCAAAAGATGAGGCAGAATGCCCTTAGTTGGTGTTCTCAGCAAAAACCAAGTGGATCTAGCCAATATTTCTCTGAGAAAGGAAAGCAGCCCCAGCCCAGGGCCGTCCTCATGACCCTCGTAAGGGCATGGCTCATGGGCCTCTGCCTAAGGAGTGAGATCATGGGGTGCTCAGAGCCTTCCACGTGGCCTGCGCACCCCTTGAGCCATCTGTCTGTGCCCAGGAGAGAAAGCCAGAGAACAAGGAGGAGCCTGGAATGCCGTGGTGAGCCGTGCTACCCAGTACAGTTAAATCCCTGCAGTTCACATGGGCTGGGGGGCCATGGCCGCAGGTATGGGCAGGAAGGGGGCGCAGGAGACAGGGATCTGCCCTGAGGGTCTGTCCCAACATTGGGTCATCTGTTGCATTGTCTTCAATCAGGACAAATGTTCCCCATGACCCGTCCCAGGGGGCAGCCCCAGAACATGATGGTTAAGAACATGGGCTGGGAAGGGTGAGTCTGATCCTGGCTCGGGTGCTCACTCCCCGGCTGGGTGACTTGGGCAGCAATGTAGTCTCTCCAGGCCTCCACCTCCAGTTCCCTCATCTGTGAAATGGGATCCTAGCATGGGTCTGGGGCTTGAGGGGAGTAAGTGACTCATTTCTCTCTAACACACAGTCCTGTGCACATGTGTGTGTGTCTGAGTGTGTGTGAGTGAGTGTGTGTGTGTGAGTGCATCTGTTAATGTTTGTTCCCAATTATGTACCAGGTGCTGGGCTAGTGGAGAAGGCCGTGACCCTGCTCTGGGGACCTGGCCTGTGTTTAGTCCTTAACCAGAGCACTTCCATCTAGAAGGCATAAGAAATGCTATCTGCCTAGGGAGGGACCGCAAACTAGCCTGTATTTATCTCCTTCCAGACTTTTTGAGAAAGACTCCCAGTGACTCCAGAAATCAGGTTTCAATTTGTATCATGGCCAGAAAGAAAGAGAGAAGGAAGGAAGGAAGGAAGGAAGGAAGGAAGGAAGGAAGGAAGGAAGGAAGGAAGGGAGGGAGGGAGGGAGGGAGGAAGAGAGCAAAGCCCATGTCAAACACACAGGAGCCTGCCTCAGTGGCCTGTCATTCCAGACAGCCTGTCCGGGCCTCAGCTCTGTTCTTGCAGACGTATTCCCACTTGGATCCAATTCCCATTCCATTTCTGCTCCTTACCCCATTTTACTGCCCCTGAACTTGGGCGTTTGGGTCTGGTCCTTGCCCCCTCGTGACCACATGAACCCAGTAAAATGTGAATTCCAGACACTTAGGACATATGTACACTACACAATTACTGGGTTTATCCAAAATTCCATTTTAACTGGCATCCTGTATTTTTATTGGCTGCATCTGGTAGCTTCTTTCTTGTGTTGGGTTAATTTGGAGAATATACTAGCCCTTGCCAAGCTCCAGGACAAAGCCCCTAGCTACTGAGATCTGAGGGACAGGCCTCATCCCCCCTCGGCCCCACAGCCCCCTGTCCAGAAAAAGGACTGGCCCTGTGTAGATCAGCCTCCCCTCTACCAAGGTGGAAGGGAGAACAGCTTCATTTCTAGTAAATATTGGCTCTGTTCCCCAGGGTGCTTAACTGCCAACTCAGCATGTAATTGGCCGTGGCTCTTGTCCAGGGAACTGACACATTTTCTTATTATGAATGCGTGAGGTTCCAGGCCAACAGATGGGTCTGAGATGTCTGCATGGCCCACAATTCCCAATGTCCTCCTTAAGTGCTGAGGCTTTCCGGATTTTTCTTTTTCAAATATTAGGCCAGGTTTTCATCCCGCAGACAAGCATTCTCCACAAGACGTAGGATACTCCTGCAGAGCTTGCCAAGTGGGCATCCAGCCCATAGAAGAGGAAAACCAGCCTGGGGAGCAGCTTGACCCCTGAAGTCTGCGAAGTCCTACAGAAGTAGAGAGAAGAGACGAGAAACAACACTGGCTCAGAGGCCTTCTCTTTGGGACCACAAATTAGTCGGAGGGCAATCAGGGGACTGAAAGCCAAGCAGAGACTTCGGCTGACTATTCCCCCCCCACCCCTGGGGTGGGGGGGCCCGCAATGCGGGTTAGCGGCAGGGAGCAGAGCAGACGTCGTGATTAACATGCATCAGCTCAGCGACACCTGTTAGGATGGGCTCAGAAATCAGCCTGGCAAGAGGCCTTTATGTATGCACTTTCCGCCGCATCATTTATGTTTGGACTGGTGGATGAAATGCCGATCTGAGGCGAGACACAGGGAAGCAGGCAAGATGCGGGGGATTGGGTATATTAGAGTCACATCAATTTTCTTGATATCCACAGAGGATGTGCTCACACACCCCACTGCTGTGGGATTAATAACAAGTGGATTTATTCCTGCTGGAGATAAGAAAAGTGGATCTGGGGAGGCTTGTGTTTGTTCAGACGTGACAGATTCAGAGTGATCCTGTCTTTGCACCATGATTCCCAAGGATCGTTTAAAAAATGGAGGAAAGGAGGAGGCAAGGTCCTACTGATTAAGATAAATGAGGTCTTCATCCTTCAGGTAAGTATCCCCCTTTTTTGTAGGAAAAACCAAAGCTAGAAAGCACTTTTGTGTTTTAGCCGGGGGTGGTGGACCTGGAACAGCGGGGCGCACAGTGCTGTGTTCACACCGAAGTGACTGTCCTACAGAACTTTGCAGGGAAAATCCTGACCTTCCGCAGAGTTGGGACACCCTGCAGTGTGGCACCTGGGGCTTTCGAGTGTTCTAAGGTGTGTGTAAGTGGATCAAGAGCCCATCAAAATGCCAAGACACCAATGGCAGTAGAGAGGGACAGAATTGTCCTGGTGCCGGTTCCCTTGTGATCTACCACAGAAACCCAAGGCTTAAAGGAGGCAGTTGTCCAAGAGACATTCCCTCCATCCCACTGAGCTCTGCGACCTGGGGTAGGTTGAGGGGGATCCCCCAGGGAGTTGAGGGGGCTGCTGTCTGGAGAGCATCCGCTCTTTAATCAAGAGTCAGGAACAGTCCTTCTCTGTGTTCAGAAACTGGATTCAGAAACAATTCTGTCTATGATAGCCATACTGTTTTCGTTTCACACATTCAGAGCCACACGGCCCTGGAGCCATCATTAAATAATGCAGGTCAGTGGGTTGGGATCCCAGCACCTATTCAGAGGGATCCCCATCGACCATCTGAAAACGGAGATATAAGTCCTTCCTCTTCGGTTTGCTTCAGGCTTGAACAAGATAATCTATGTCAAAAGCCCAGCCCTGGATGCATTCAGCAAATATGCAACAGAACCCAGTGGGTAAGGTGGGCAGAAGGCATGGGGATTCAGTAGGTCTCGTGCCTGCTGGATTGGATGATTGCTGCCGAGAAAGAAGGAGAGGACAGGTGAGGGAGGAGCGCTCTCAGGACGTGGGAGCGCCATCTTGGAAGCTACAGCATGCCCTGAGGGCTGGTCTCCTTCCAAAGCTGGACCTTTGCAATGAATGGCTATTCCCCACACCGGGAATGCTCTTGACTCAGATCTCTGCAAGGCTGGCAACCTTTGTATTTCAGAGAACAACTCAAAGTTACCTGTGCTGTGACTGTCAAGGGTACCTTCAGTCAACTCTCTACCGTGTCCCCTGTTCCCTATGCCTGCGTGGCTGTGTTTGAAACCGTATCCAGGATTTAATTGATCAGGTCTGGTGAAACGACAGACACAGAGACAACTGCCTTGAGGGAGCGGCGTATTACTCACAGTTCCCTAGACAAGGGGCACAAGAGTCATGCAGGGTCACACGGGGAAGTGTCGGGATTGTCCAGGAGGTCCAGGGAGTGGGTGG